TGAATCCCAGTCCCCCATACTCTTTTGGCAGTGTTAACATGTTCCAGCTCTTCCAGTGAATCCCTTTTTCTTGTGTTCCCCCCTTGCTCCACCAAAAATTAGCTGTTAGGCTTGCTAATTCCTTGCAAATTCCATCTGTTAGCTTGAAACATGACATGGCAAACACAGATAGGGAGTTGATGACAGCCTTTATTAAAACTTCTTTCCCAGCTGTAGAGAGGAACTTATTTTTCCAGCTGATTAGTCTTTTCCTAACATCTTCAATTACAAACTCAAATGTCTCTTTTTTGGATTTGCCTATGCCAAAGGGGAGGCCCAGATATCTAGGGGAATTGTGGGCAGTTAAGCCATCCAACACTGTGCAAATATTTGATCTCTTCAGGGGCAGTGTATTCTTACTGAAGAAGACTGTAGATTTAGATAGATTCACTCTTTGGCCTGAAAATGCCTCATACTCATGCAGAATATCCCTGAGCAGCTCAGCTTGATCCACTTCATCTTTACAAAACACCAGCAGATCATCTGCAAAGGAGAGGTGGGTTAACACAGGTCCACCTTTAGCCAGCCTAAGACCTCTAAACATCCCATCACTTGCTGCAGCACCAATAAGGGCAGATAAGGCTTCAGAAACAATGAGGAAGAGGTAAGGAGATATTGGGTCTCCTTGTCTCAATCCTCGAGTAGGTTGCACAAATCCCACAGCTTCCCCATTTAACATGAAAGAGAATGTAGTTGTTGACACACTGAACATCACCCATTGCACAAAAGCTTTAGCAAATCCCATCTTGGTCATTAACATCTCAAGACATCTCCATTCGACTCTGTCATAAGCTTTCATCATATCCAGTTTCAGTGCCATGAAGCTATGTCTGCCAATTCTATGCTTGTTCAAATAGTGATAGCTCTTCTGTGCAATTATCACATTGTCAAGTAATTGCCTTCTTGGAATAAAGGCACTTTGAGATGAGCTAATACAGACCTGAAGGCACTTCTTTAATCTGTCTGCCAGTATCTTGGAAATAAGCTTGTACACCACAGCACAAAGGCTGATTGGTCTATACTGGTTTAGAGAACTGGGATTTTCACATTTAGGAATCAAGGTTACCAAAGTATGGTTCCAATAACGAAGGAATCTACCTGAATTGAAGAAACTATGAACAGCCTTGCACATGTCCTGTTTTATTACTGGGCAGAAGTGTTGATAAAACAATGTGGTCATCCCCTCCTCACCTGGTGCTTTCAGTGGATTCATTGCAAAGAGGCATGCTTTGATCTCATCATCTTCCACTGCTGCTGTAAGGTCCTCATTCATTTCTTGAGTGATAGATTGAGGAATTAGCTGCAAAACCTGTCTTCTCCCCAAGACCCTTCTGAAGTGAAGAGATTCTGATAAAATGTAGAGATATGGCCTTGAAGCTCTTCTTTAGATTCCAAAACTTTGTTCCTATTATCAATCATTCTGGTAATTTCATTTCTTTTCCTTCTCTGGACAGTCACTGCATGGAAAAATCTTGAGTTCTGGTCTCCCTCCTTAAGCCACATGTTTTTGGATTTTTGCTGCCAAAAGAGCTCTTCAGAACAGTGAGCGTCCTCTAATTCTTTCTTCAAAATTTCCCACTCGTCCCAGTTCTTCCCATTTCCTAGCTTTCTCATCTCTTCCAATTTCAAAGAAAGGACTGAGATTTTCTTCTTGCTGTTTGATCCTCTTTGCTTCTCCCAAGCAGATAAAGCCTTCCTAGTCTCTTTAATATTCTCCTTCAGTTGGAAAAAAAGGAGTTCCATGTTGGAATTGCTCCCATGCCTGAGTGACCACATCCCAAACCCCCTGAAATGATATCCATCTCTTATCAAATCTGATTTTCTTGTACTTAACCTCAGGTGGATTTGCTTGCAATAAAATCATCCCATGGTCTGAAGCACTCCTAAACAGATTTATAGCCTTTGTGGCAGGGTATCTGTTTAGCCATCCCAAAGAACCAAAAGCATTATCAAGTTTTTCTTCCAAAAAATCCCCCTCCTCTCTGTTATTACACCAGGTAAATTGGTAGCCTTCCATGTGGATCTCAGTCATTCCCATACTGCCAATGAAATTCTGGAAAGGAACAAGACTCCTTTTAGTTCTAGGCCTGCCCCCTTGTTTGTGCTCCTCCAAGTACAAATCATTCCCGTCACCTAAAATGCACCACTCATCACCCCAGAGATGTTTATTATCAATAAGACTCTGCCATTGATTAGCTCTAATAGAGATCTCAGTGCTCATATACACAAAAACAAGCCAACAGGGGGCATCATCATTAGATAATTGGAATTGAACTTGAATACAAAAATTAGAACTAACCACTTGCAATACAGATACATTAATATCCCAACCTAACAATAACCCTCCTCTACTACCTACTGGTTCCACAAAACACACTCTATCCTCAAACCCTAACTTTCTACACACCAAAGTAGTAAAATTTTGTTTTTTTTTTTTTTTTTTTCATTTTTTTTTTTTTTGTTTCTGATAAAAATACAAATTTTGGGTGGTGAGACTTTATAGCCTCTCGAATTTGGGGAACTGTAGAGGGGCCTCCCAAACCTCTACAGTTCCACACCAGAGCTAGCATTGATCACTATGGGGCCAATTTTGGCTGGCTCCCACCACCCCTTTACCAGATAGTTTATATTTCTTCTTCCCTGCTTCCTTGTCTTTCACTCCCTGATCATCCTCAATCTGATTAATTTCTTCTCCTCTTCTTTTCCTAGGCTTAGCAAGGATTATAGAGCTATTATTGTGGTGCTCTTTCCTTTCCAGTCTCCCCATCGTTGAGCTTGTTCTCTTCCACATTTTCCCCTTCCTCTTAGCCATAAGATCTTCTTGCGTCTCCTCCATAATTCCTATTTCCTCTTGGTTGGTCTGTTTTATCGTCTCTCCCTCAGTGATAATTTTCAAGCTCTACTCTTTTCCTTGGATCTTTGTTAATTGCTGTTTAGGTGGACTGATCTCCATGAGCATGCCTGACACTTTATCACCCTCAGCTTTCGATGAAGATGATTCGACCATAGCTAGATTTGTAGGAGATCGAGATGAGATTAAATTATCTCCTTCTATCGACTCATTTACAGTGTGGCTCTGTTCTTGTACCCTTTGGTCTAAGGGGACAAAAGGCTCAGACGGACGATTGTTTGAGGGATCGCTGTTATTACTTGCCGGAGATGATTCGGAGATTATGAACCCATCAGCAGCTCGCATCCACTCCCCATATTGCCCCACTTTCGGTTCCTTCTTAGCAATGTCCTCTTTCATTTGGGAGCAATTCTTATCAACATGTCCCAGTTTCCCACAATAATAGCAGAGGCTCATAATTTTCTCATATTTGAATTGCACTGTAACAATTTGTTCTCCCAGATGTATTGATGACCATCTGGGTAGCGGCTTCTTCAGGTCTAACTTTACTTGAAGCCTGAGCACTCTTCCACCTTGCATCCCTGCCCGTACCAGATTAACATTTTTTATGTCTCGAAATGCTCTTCCCAATTTCGTCCCCACATCGATGCTCAGCCAGTTTATTGGGACCCCATGGACCTGAACCCACAGTATAATCTCTCCAAAGTTGGGATGTTCTTCCGATAATCCCTCTTGCCATTGTTGAAGCAGCAAATATTGGTTCTCAAACACCCAGCTTCTCTCCAGATCTACTCGCAGCATAGCATCTCGGTTCGGAAATAGGAGTTGGAAGTAATTCTGATTGAGTTCCCTCAGTTCCAGATTGTTCCCCATTCTCCATAACAGCCCCATCGTTCTCTTTATCCCCATCCAATTGGCTTTTCTTTTCTCCGACTACCTTCCCAAATAAGCTTCGGCTGCATTCTTCCGCACTGAATCGAACATCTCTCTCCTCTATGTCTATAATCAGCTTTTCTGCTTCAGCAATCGAAACTCTCCCTAATCTTTGCCCTATATCCTCCGCCATTCCACACAAAATGACTATCACAGCAAAGAGTACAGACAAACCTTTCTATAAACTGGCCTTCGACTCCCGAAGAAGATCACTCCACACGGAGAAGTACACTCTCAATTGAGTGAAGAACACTCTCAAGAACAGTTGTGCTACTCATTTGGCTTTCAATAATTAATCATGCCTCGTCAACAGGTGATAAATTAATTTTTCAATTGTTTAAAACTTTAATAGACAAGTACAGTTTATTTCAAAACGAAAAAATAAAAATAAAAATGCAGTGCATTACGTATAAAAAGACATTGATATTCGAATTTCATGAACTATAATTCAAGCATCCTAATTGTATGGAATGAGCAAGGTAAAACACAAAATATGACAATCATTTTCCAGGAATAAGCAAAAATTACAAGGTGGAACAATTAAAAATCATTCGATCTCCCTGAGTTCGTTATCAATTTATATAAGACATTAAGGGTGTGCTTGCTTGTGAATAAACTCAATCATATTCTAAATATAATTCAACTTTAACTCAACTCAACTATCTGCAATATTATCAATATAATAAGATACTATCAATCTATCATTCTTACACTTCTCTCTCACTTTTACATCAAATCAACTTTAATTATTTTATTTTTTAAATATTATTTTAATATAAACTTAAAATCCAACTAACAACTAGAGCTGTCAAAACGGGCTTAAGCCCGCGGGCCGACCCACCCTGCACTGCCAAAGGGGCGGATTGGACCGGGATATTAGAGGCCCGCTGGGGAGCGGGCTTAAACTAGCCAGCCCGCGATAGCCGCCGGCCAGGGAGGGACAACACGGGCAAGCCCGCCGGCTGACCCACTAAATATTTAGAAAAAAAAATTAAAAATGTAAATATAAACATAAGAGACAAAAATATTCGTCTTCAAATCTTGTTTCTCGTATCTGCGTCTCCAGTCTACCCTCCACACCAAATAACCAAACCCTAAACGCCAAATTCTCCCCACTTATCCATTCAATCTTTCATATGAAAAGAAAAAAAAAAGTCATTTACACAAATTGAGAGAGATGGAGGGGAAAACGAAATCAGCTATGGAGGCGTTCGAGAAGCTAGAGAAAGTGGGCGAGGGCATCTACGGGAAAGTGAACAGAGTGACAGAAAAAGTGATTAGTAAAATCGTGGTTCTGAAAAATACGCAACTGCACGGGGATGAAAAACCGGTTCTTTGGAGTTATTTTCACTCCGAAGAGAAAAAAAAAAAATCTGATTGTTTCCAATTTTTTTTATCAATTGAAGTTAATGTGATGCCTCCACTTCAATTTGCCCAAATTAAATATATTTTAGAGAGATTGTAATATACTACAGTAAAACAAAAATAAAAAAATAAAAAAATAGCGGGTCAGGCCTGCCCAACCCGTGGCCCGAAGTGAGAGTGGTTGGGCCTTCATTTCATAGGCCAGCCACGGTAACGGGTCAGTCCACTTCGCCCCGCCAACTAGCGAGTTATAGACTGGCCCGCTCACTAGCCAGTTTTGACAACTCTACTAATAACTAATTATATTATTTTTTTTTAAATTAATTTTAATTAAAAAAAACTCATTTGTATTCAAGCACGCTATAATAGTTTTTCTTGATTTACTTAATTACTCTTCAAGAAAATCAATTAAGAAAGTTGACCAGAGTTTCCATTATCACTTGGCATATTATTGAAAAATCCAAAAGGTAATAAAAACCTTAAAATAGTGTGTCAAGTGGGCCTTTTCCCCCTCCTTGACCATTTATTTATAAGATCGTTGACATTTAGTCCTTTAGTTAAAGCACAAGATCTTAGCTAACAAAATTAACTAAAGACGAATATTCTACAATAAGCACTTCATATTATTTATTTATAAATAAATAGTGATAAAGGGAATGGCAGTTTTGTCCTATCTCTGTCCAACTCCAATTGGCTAAAGACAAAGAACCGTGTCCCTATTGACAATGGCGACTCAAACTTATTAATTAATTGTCAATTTTTTTTATCATTGAATTTTTGTTATTGTTTGACTTGACGTTTATTGGATTTTTTAGACAAATAGGAAAGTTGTGATCTGCATGTCCATTGTCGCTTTAAAATAACTATTTACTTTTAAAATGAATATTTGTAATATTCTTTATTTTAACATGACAATCATACGGTTTATAATTGAGTACAAAATGTACATCAGTTTCACAAAAACGGTTATCAATTGGAGTAATGGGCCTGATTCATTTGTTAGGACTTAGGTGGGTCAATTTTGACCTAGGAATTATAATTTTTGAGTAAAAAGTTTATATTTGCAATTTAAATAGATGTTTTAAATAATTGAGGGAGCATATATTTTTTGGGAATTTTTTATCCCTGCTACACGTTTTTAAAAAAAAATACAAATTTATCATACACATGCAATTAATTGTGACTTTGCTTAAAAGATAATATTTATCTACATTAATGTATAATGGCAGTTACCAATTAATTTTAACCACTCTCCACGTGCATTTAATTTGACTGATTCAGTTACCATATCAATTCAACTTTCTCTTCTTCTTTTGCATGTGATTTGCGTCCATTTACCAAAAAATAAAAATGCTTTTTGAATTTTATTCTGAAAAAAGTTATGCAAATAATCAAAAAAAAGGTGTCAATTAAAATCAAGGTATATTTTTTACTCCTGCCAGGTATATTTCATCTATACTGTACATATAATGATCATATCCTGTACATATACCACAATACAACACAAAACAGTAGACTCCATGAAAAATATACCAAAAGTATACTTCAACCCAACACAACACAAAATATACCGAATCATCCGAAATCATCCTGAAGAGAAAATATACCACAACACAACACAAAATATACCGAAAATATACTGAATATAAATCATCCTCCGGAAATATATTCCTCTTCTCTCTCGTCGACTCCATGGAAAACGATTCTCAGATCGCCTACCTGGAGATGACGACCGCGGGGATGGCTCGGTAGACGATCTCGTTGAGGGAGTAGGACTCGGTGGAGAATGGGTCGGCGTTGAAGGGGACGTATTTGACGGAGAAGCCGTGGGACGAGGCGTGGCGGCGGGCCTCGTCGCGGATGTTCTCACCTGCGGGGCGGCGACGGTGGACCTTGGAGGATTTTGTGTGAGAAAAGAGAGAAAGGACAGTTTGTGAATAAGAGAGAGGAGGGATAGAGGAGAGAGAATGAGAAGTTACCATGTAATTAGGGGGAAGAGGAGATAGAATGAAAAGTTAACATGTAATTAGGAAATTAGCTTTTTAGGCATATATGCAAATAAATATAACAAATTTAGTTAATTTGTAAATAATTATATAAGGAATGTAATTATGTAATATTTTTATATTGTTTAAGTGGAACGTGCAAATTCCTCTATATTTTTACTCAAAGGAATACTCAACTATCTATGTTGGTGACTTACTATCACTCTCTTACAAATGTTCACTACTTCTGAACAAGCTAGTTTAATTTGATATAAAGTGAAGAACTTTTACCTTCAATTAACCACCGACTTAGTAAGACTTACAATATATGGCGTATTCATCAAAATTTAATTTTGACACATACGGTAAAATATTTGAAAATGTTTTCTTGCCTCGCACTTTCAAATTATCTGTCCAATTTAGAGAGAAATTGAGTTGGGTGTTTTTGTCCATCATTTTCACAGACACAACACAATTGCACAAATAGGATCTGTTAGATTTTGATTAATTTGTTGTCCCACATCGGATGTGTACTAAAGATGTGTAAGATCTTTTTAGTATAAACAGGTCCCTTGCATTTGGGTTACAATTGCACCTTATTCTATTCTCTCATCTCTTAAGGAAATCCTTAATTAAGGAAATCCTAATTTGTGGGTCATTTAACCTAGTTGTATTTTGTTAGTGAGTTTAGTAAATTTGGCGTTGCGGTTGGCGGTGCCCGGAGATGTAGGCAATATTGGTCGAACTCCGTTATCAAATTTGTGTCCTTTTTATTTCTCATCTTTTATTTATTTGTGTTTGCCTATTTTCGTTTGGATTAGTGCTTGTTATATTTGTTGTAGGGGTATTTTTGCCCGTTGCGCTTGTTTTTCTACCCCAAGAAGTGGTATCAGAGCCGAAGGTTCGTCCTAGGCTCATTTGGAGAGGCGAACACTGCATTGGAGTCCGAGATGTCCAAGGAGATCAAGGGCGCATCATCCTTTGCATTCATTCCGGCAAAGACGGTGATGCCGAACATCAGACTCCCGATGGAAATCTTCGATGGGACCGGCCATTTCGGCATGTGGCAAGACGTGGTGCTGGATTGTCTATTTCAGCAAGGCGTCGACATTGCCATTGAAGAAAAGAAGCCAACCGACGTTGTAGAGAAGGACTGGAAGAATATCAACCGCTTAGCATGTGGAACAATCCGTTCTCGTTTGTCGAGGGAGCAGAAGTACGCGTTCAAAAATGAGAACTCTGCTCACACTCTGTGTAAGGCTTTGGAGGATAAATTTCTGAAGAAAAGCGGCCAGAATAAGCTCCTCATGAAGAAGCGATTGTTCCGATTTGAGTACTGGCATGGCACATCGATGAATGACCACGTCACTGCATTCAATCAGTTGGTTGCAGATTTGTTAAATTTGGACGTCACATTCAGTGATGAAGATTTGCCTCTAATGTTGTTATCATCACTTCCAGACGACTTCGAGCACTTAGAGACTACTTTGCTCCATGGGAAGGACGATGTAACTCTTGCAGGTGGTCAGTTTTTCTCTGTATAGCTATGAGTTGAGGAAGAAGAACAAACATGAGGCGAAGAATGCAGCAGCAGAAGATGAAACGTTGGTTGCAAGATGTCGGTCGAAGAGCCAAAAGAAGAATAGACAAGGAAGATCACGTTCCAATGCCAAGCTTGAAAAAGACGAGTGTGTTTTCTGCCATGAGAAAGGACACTGGAAGAAAGACTGTCCTAAGTTGAAGAAGAAGGGCAAATCTCCTCAAGATGCATATGTTGTCGAGGGTGGAAGTCAAGACTCAGAATTCTCACTTGTAGTTTTACCTTCATCATCTCATCCATACGAATGAATTTTGGATTCAGGATGCACCTACCATATATCTCCCATAAGGGAGTGGTCCTTCAATTTTCAATAGATTAGTGGAGGAGTTATCTATATGGGTAATGGCAATGCCTATAAGACAATTGTGATACGTTCAATCTCTGAAGAATCGCGGTGGGTCCACCTGAGTTTTGACGGATGTTCGGTACGTGCCGAGTTTAAAGAAAAATCTCATCTCGTTAGGAACCTTGGAATCCAAAGGCTTGGTAGTGACTTTGTGCGATAGAGTTATGAAGGCTACATCCAGCTCGCTCGTGGTGATGAAAGGCATCAGGAGGAATAACTTGTATTACTATGAGGGTGATACAGTTGTTGGGACAGCAACAGTAGCAGGTTCCACCAACAAGGAGTCTGAAGCAGTCAAGTTGTGGCATATGCGGTTAGGATATACGGGTGAAAATCCTTTCAAACATTGGCAAAACAAGGACTATTGAAAGATGTCTAAGTGTGCAAACTAGACTTTTGTGAGCACTGTGTTCTGGGAAAGCAGAAGAGAGTGAAATTTGGAACGGCTATCCATAATACTGAAGGTGTCTTGGATTATGTTCATTCGGATGTTTGGGGACCTTCTAAGACCTCATCATTATGCGAAAGATGATATTTTGTCACTTTCATCGACGACTTTTCCTGACGTGTTTGAGTGTACACTATGAAGGCAAAGGATGAAGTGTTTGGTGTCTTCATTACATGGAAGACAAAAATTGAGAATCAGACTAGAAGGAAGATCAAGGTCCTACGAACGAACAATAGTGGAGAATATACAAGTGATCCCTTTCAAGAAGTTTGCCGTAAAAATTGCATTGTTAGGCATTTCACCGTTAGACGGACACCACAACAAAATAGAGTGGCGGAGCGCATGAATCGAATATTGGTGGAGAAAGTTCGATCTATATTGTCCAATTCTGGTTTGGCCAAGGAGTACTGGGCTGAGGCTATAACATACGCGCAACACCTCATAAATCGATTGGCGTCATCTGCAAAAGATGGTAAAACACCTTTGGAGGTATGGTCGAGGAAACCTGTTGCTGACTGTGGATCTTTACATGTCTTTGGGTGTCGTACTTACTATCATGTGAAGGATTCAAAGTTAGATCCAAGAGAGAAAAAAGTTTTGTTCACGAGAATCACCATTGGCGTGAAGAGATATCGTCTTTTGTGTCTTGAGACAAACAAAACTGTGTTTAGCAGGGATGCTACATTTGATGAACAAGGTATGATAAAGACGACGCAAACCCAACAGGTGGAGTTGACACCGAAGCAGGTGGAGATAGATGTGATGACGAGACAACCAACTATGATCAGCGTGCCAACATCAAAGGATTCGTCGGATGACGAAGTACAGACCCCAAGAATCACTAGAGTTACCCATTACATTGAGAAAGCCAAGAGGAGAGATTCAACAACCTACTCGATTGTCTCTCCAGAAGAATCAAACTTGGAATGTGACGCAACTACCAAAAGGAAAGAGGGCGATAGGATGCAAGTGGGTATTTGCAAAGAAAGATGGATTTTCTAAAAAAAAATGATATGCGCTACAAGAAGATTAAGTTGTTTGGTTGGGCACTTTTCTGCCCTGAAAATTGAGCTCATCTCGGACCAATATCCCTCACCATATCCCACCAAATTGACAAGATAGTGTATCATTTCTCAATCTCCTCTTCTGCCCATCTTTCTTCTTCCTCTTCTTTGTGTCGTTCATGTGCATTCCCCATTTTCTCCCGCCAGATCCATGTCGTCAAGCTCTCCCACGACGCCGACCACCACCACCAATCCCATCTCATCTGATGTCCCCTCCGCCAGATTTGTCTTCGCCAATTCCTTCCCAGACACCATCGACTTCCGCTCTTTCGACCATCTCTGTGCGATGGCGCCTCCTTCTTTAGTCACTCTGTGTCGTCGCCTTCCCATCCGTCGTTGTCAGCCCACCTTACGCCTTCCTAGAGGCCATCGACTTCCTCTCCTTCGACCCCACATCTCGCCGTCGGCGCCTCCCTCAGTCCCTCTACTCTGTCTCGTCGCCTCCGGCCCGCCTCACGCCTTCCCAGACCCCATCGACTTTCACTCCTTCGACCCCATCTCTTGTCACTGGTGCCTCCTCGCCCCGTCGCCTCCAAACCCGACCTGTCATGCTTCGTCTTCCGCACCCCTCCTTCATCCGCTGCCCACAGCGACTCCCGCCACTACTACTCCTGTCGGACTCACTATTGGAGCTAATTGAATTGATTTCTGGATCTCAAATTCCCGATCTCGGTTTATCCATCTTAATTTCTCAATCTTAAATTCTGAAAAATTAATTTTAAATGAAGAATAAAAAAGTAATTTCAACTTAAAAGATATAATTTCTAATCCTAAGCAAAATAAGATAATGGGGTGATTGAATTGATAGATAGCCTTTGATATAATCTTAGCATGATCAATCTAGTGTTGCAACCAATCGCAACCAAAATACATACGGACAAATTTGGGATATGCGCGATCCACACACACTCACAAATCCACATTCACACACGGCCAGTTCCTCCATCCCTTCTGTGACCTCCACTAGTACCACACATGAGCTATTGTAGAAATACGCACGATAGAGAAATTTGGACTGTGATTAGGAAGGGGGAAAGAAAAAGAATGAAACAAAATTTTAATTTATTTTTTTTTTTTTANATTTTCAAATATGGTCAAAAGCCAACCTATATTCTGGCACACAAACAAGAGTATAACACACAAAAAAAAAAGGTGAAAAATTAATAGAAAATTATTAATTTTAGTTCTTTTAAATTTATTTTTCTATTTAAAAGATAAGTTTTTTGGGCTCAGTCAGCGAAATGTATGAGTTTAGGATGACTTCCTATATTTGCCAATTTTTGTCCTCATTGTTCATAAATCGTTTGATTTTTAAGACTCATGTCATAGTTTTTAAAAAAATAAAAAGACATCATGCTTAGTTACGATCCAATTGTTACTAGGTAAAAAGTACAATTTTTTTCACTGTTGAAAAGGCATATCGTCCTTCTATGTTCTTTGTTAGCAAAATTCGGCCAACTCGTCGGAAATTCAGCACAAACTGTTTAATTTTGATGCACCCATCGAATGCGATTATCGAACAATCCTGATAACCAATCATTGTCATTTAAGTCATATTTTTCAATCATTATTCTCCAGCCTTCCTCAAATTCTTCCGATGATTGTGAATCATAAACCAATACATGAATGGCCGAAAATATTGCGGCTTTCTCAATGTGATATCCGAATTTTTCGGGTAACTTCTTCAGAATATGCCACAAACACCATCTGTGTTTTGTGCGGAAAAACTATTTCAATTGCATTTTGCATGGCTTTATCTTGATCAGTAAATATTCCACTAGGAGCTTGGCCATGTATACACTTTAGCCATGTTCTGAATAACCACACAATGTACCGGTGTGTTCATTCGACACCAAACCACAACCTAACAATATTAACTGGCCGTGATGATTAACGCCGACAAAAGAGACAAAAGGCATGTCATATTTGTTAGTAAGATATGTTGTGTCGAATGTGACGACATCTCCAAACTCTTCATATGCTTTCCTAGATCTGGTGTCCGCCCAAAAAACATTCTTCAATCGAGAAAGTAGAAACCTGAGCATTAAGCTTGCATATTAGAAAAGTAGGATTGTATTGCAGCCGCATCCCCTTCGCCAAGTCTTAGGCGTCTGGCCTGCTCGACATAGTTACGACAATCCTTCTCCACAAAAGTTATATTTTCGTACCCGCCAGCTTCAACAACTACAGAGTTAAAACTTTTATGCAATGGTATTCCTACTATGTCATTCACTTCAAGCTTTCGTTTGACATGTGAACTTAACACGCGATGACATCGATACAACCTCGACTTAGTGGGATTGGTCTTGTGATTGTGGTCAAGATGGACATTATTAATTTTCCAGTAACCATGTATGTCTAATGATGCAGATATTCTTACACCCTGTATTACTTATGGGTTGCGGCTTCATGGAAGTTCTTGTAGAACTATTTATTCGTCCTTCGCTACTACAAGTGAATGTGACATATCGTAGAACTCCATCATCATCCTTCCCCGAACTTCTTTTTCTCACAAGAAAACCAGTGGCATATGGGTATCGCATATAAAAGTGAGAAACTTCCTTTTCATTGGGGAATTGCATACCAACTTTAGAAATAGAATCATTTATTCCAGTTTCATTATCCCGGGCAGTTCCACTTTCTTCAAAATTTGCATTTTCTGAGTCCACAATCAAAACATCATCCATGCCACGTGCTCCTAGTGATAC